AAACAAACGTTCTGCTGAACGCACCCATTGTGATGCGACTAATGTAGAACCAGCTTTAGTTACAGCGCTACCAACCTTGTAACTAAAAAGAAAATTTTCGACACAGCTATCGGAACACAACCTTGAACGGAAATTTATCCAAGGTCGATAGTAGAAGAGCCGAGAGGATGGTGATAGATGGCGCCTCTCCGAGACGAATCAGGACGGAAAAATCGCGAGCCTCGACAAGGAGAGGCGTCTCCTACGGTTCGTCCAACGGGGGAGCTTATACATAACCAACAACAATGTCGATCGCGCCCGAAGGAGACGCGAAACTCTCGAAAGCCGAGTGAGAATTGCGCGCAGCGGTGAGCGCGGCGACGATGCCGAGGTAGTCACCGTCGGTTTCTCTCGACCCCCTCTCTCCTTTTCTCTCCCTTCCTTGAGAGCGAAACTGAGTAGGTAAGCGCGCGCGTAGGTCGTCGTCCGTGTGTGTGCGTGCAGCGTGCGTACATTCGCGCGCACGTCCCGCCGTCGAGGTGAACGTTTGCGGAAAGTCGGCGGTGCCGCGGTTGGTGTCGAAAAGTTTCTCCCCGTATCGCACGGATGCGCCGTTCTTGTTAAGAGGGCGACTCGCGAGCGCGGACCTCCGCCGTGGACCTCCGCCTCCTGGTGCCGGACAGTGGCGAACATGGAGGACTACAAATTTCTGTTCAAGGTCGTGCTCGTGGGGAACGCCGGTGTGGGCAAGACCTGCCTGGTGCGACGATTTACTCAGGTGCGATTCACTCGACGTCCCTCCAGTCGGCTATTCCGGTCCTCTCTCTTTTTCTCTCTCCTTTCCCGTCACGGGTTACGAAAACCTCGAGGAAAGCTCGCCGAGAGAGCTCGTCGTCGAGCGAGAGGCATTCTCGTGGGACCCCCCCCCTACCTTCCCCCTCGCGTACACAGAATTTATGCACGAACGTATTTCCCAGAAAAGGTGGAAAGTTCGTTATTTATGCATCGTGGAGATGATGTCATCTACATATGTGGAACGTTACTTTGAAGCCGATCCACCGTGGTTTATTTGCCTGCGATGGGTACTATTTGATGCATCATATTTTCAGTTTATGTCAGCCTATCTTCCCCAAAACTTTCTAAAATTTATTTCCATTGAGAGATCTTTAAGAGATGATTCTCTCAAAACTCTAGTCATCTCTTGTAATAGAATGCATTACTGAGCACTATTTTTATAACATCTTTCTTGGTGACACATATGCTAAAATTACAAGATGATGAAAAATGCATCATTAAATGGATGTGTAATTCAACGAAGATATTGAAGTGATATTGGCATGTCTAATTTTAGTGCGATTATTTTATATGATTTCTATGATTTAGTGTGAATATTTTAATTTGCAGGGTTTATTTCCACCTGGACAAGGTGCAACAATTGGAGTTGATTTTATGATTAAAACTGTTGAAGTAGAAAATGAAAAAGTCAAGGTATACAATCTATATGCGACATGTGCGTTAGATATATATGATCTACTGTTGATTGTTTTTTCAGTTGCAAATCTGGGATACTGCAGGTCAGGAAAGATTTCGTTCCATTACTCAAAGTTATTACAGATCAGCACATGCATTGATATTAGTTTATGATATTTCTTGTCAACCTACATTTGATTGTTTGCTAGATTGGTTGAGAGAAATCGAAGAATATGCAAGTAATAAAGTTCTTAGGATATTAGTAGGTAAATGAAAAACGTAAAGATTATCAGTTAATGTGTGAGGACGTGTGTGTCTCCTATCAATGAGAAATTATGCAATTTCTATTTGTTAATTAGGAAATAAAATTGATCGAGAAGATAGAGAGATACCAACGCACGTTGGAGAGGATTTTGCACAAAGACATGGCATGTACTTCTTAGAAACGTCCGCTAAAGAAGCAGAAAACGTAGAGAGATTATTTATGGAAATAGCAGCTGAACTTATGGAGGTAAGCGAGGGTATTTTATTTATGATTATTTCATTTTAGAACATTTTGCAGTGCTCGTATGTTATTTTAGCAAGCACGCTGTAAGGAATTACCTCGGTATGAAACGAATACAACTTCAATAAACGGTAAAACGACGTCAATCGGTGATAGTAGTAATTGCGGTTGTAGCAGACTCTCTTAAATAATTTTTATATGTTATATTATACCTTTTTTTATAGACACGGTGATTGAAATCGAGCGTATCAATATTTGATAATTTAGGAAACATATAGTACACGTATATCTTTGATACAGTGTTATTGTTTAGTGTTATGATATTATATGCTACGTTGCTTTATACTATGTTGTAAGATATATTTAATATTTAAAACAAGAATTTAAATATATCATTAAGCACTCTAGCTTTTAGGACATTAAATTTTTATAGATATATAGCGCAGTTTTACGCTCTCTTACCGCGCGTTTTATTTAATTAAAGTAATACTGCTTGATATTAAATTGTTTAAGCACTTATTTCCATATGCAATGGAAATTTTATTTAATATAATTGTAGTATTTCTTTTTTGTTACTTCGAAAGTACAAATAGTTATTACCACAATGGATTTTGGTAACTTGTCCAAAATCTTATTAATAATAATAAGATTTTTACAACACATCACACAAGCCTACGATGTATAAAGTTATTTCTAACGTGCAATATTTATATGTGTTTATTACAACTATTTTGAAGAAGACAGCTCACAATGTGCTTATAACAGCATGTTAAAATTAAAGCATAAATGACACATTGTAAGTCTGCATACAATAATCAACGAGAACAATTTTTATTTTAACGAATTATTTGTTAAGTAATAATCTAGAAAAGTGATAACAAGATATTATTACTAAATAATTTTTAGCATTTATATGATCAGATCTTTGTTATATTTAATTTATAATTTATGGATCTTATAAACAATATGTGGTTGAGTATTAATTATTCTATATACATTTCGTATGATATTAAAATATCTAGTCTTTTTTCACATTTCTTTTATACTCTATATGTACCAATAGACATAATCGTTATAAGTAATATGTATTTTATTATGAATTTCTTGTTAGCTAATACTTTCTAATTTTTTAAATAGCCTGTAGTTTATTAGTATTAATTATCATTATAGATTGTATCTTTTATGTAAGTTGTATGTATGAATTCACTGGGACAAACTTTACCTTTTTTACAGCAAAAAGAAATTAAATTAGTCTTTGAAATTGTTACATATCTAATTTTTATTTATCTAGTAGTTCTCAATCAAATTTGCATAAGTCCTGAGAAAATGCATAACTTATATGTATGTTAGATGTTTATATAAAAATTAAAGTATTTTCTTTTCTTCGATACCTGTAATTAAGATCTTTTTAACATAGTTAAGTTTATACACTAGCTATTCAATTTGAAATTACTCCAAAGATTTTATGTTACGAAAACGTTTTGTTACAATTATATAGTGTAAGTTATTAATAATGCATAATATAAATCACGACTTGTAATAAAAACTATATTAGTCAAAACCTGTATATCAATTTTCTTGGTATGAGATTAATATTGTGTTATCGTATTAATAGAAAATTATATATACAGGGCGTTCTGTGAAATTCGCAAATCAAAATACAGCAAGAAAGTTTTTGAAAAAAATAAGTTAAAATATTTGCCGTTTTTTTGTTCTAAGTCAATAGTCTTTAAGATATAAGGTTTAAAACTGCTGCCTATTCGTGAGTCGTTTATCGATAGTTGTTAGTAGGTCTGTTTGCGTTGCTTGAAGTTCCCCAAAATTTTTGAACTTAAAATGAGATAGATACATATTTGGGCGTTGAAAAGAGAGAAAGCGAAGATGTTGAGTGTAAAAAGTATAAACAACGCGAACAGACCTAGGATTAGGCGATTTACAAACAAGCAGCTGTTTAATTACGTAACTTGTATAATTAGCAAATTTCAAATTATTATATCTCAAAAACTATTGATTGGAACGGAAAATGGCAAGTACTTTTTAAATGTATTTGTTTGAGAACTTTCTTGCTGTGACATTTTGATTCGCGAATCTCGGATACCCTGTAGAGGTTAGAATACATAATAATGCACGGGCAATGCACGTGCCATTTGTCCTTGGTTTATAGTAGATTTTATGAAAATTATATGGTCAATACAAATTTATATCAAATTATATATTTCTAATATAAAAAAATCAATCAAAATTTATCACTAAGTTACATACAACGATACAAGATTTATAGCAGATATTATATTTTCATTGACTTTTACATAAGTTTTTAAATACTCACGAGTTTCTGTATTTTTATATAATATTTCTCTTAATAGGAATACACGCGCATCGAAATATAACCATACTGCTACATAAAATATTGAATAAAATATTTTATTTATGTTACTGATTATGAAAATGTCTGTGTCGCAACAGTTGCAGAATAAGCGATTAAAGTTGATCTTGAAAATGACTGTGTTGTAATAGTTAAAGAATAAGCAGTAAGCGCTTGTGTGTATGTGTGTGAAGTTTAATATAATTAATATAGTCAAATAAAGTTCACGTTCAGAAAAATCTGCTCCTACTCAGTCATTATTACTTTCAGATTGTAACATTAGATTTTCTTGCTTCTGACGTCACAATCTGAAAAAGTACTATAGTAGTGATGAGTGAACAGGTACTTTAAACCATCAGCTTGTACACGTCTGCATACTGATCACCTCATTAATTTTCATAGCTCAACTAACATTTTTATTGTTTAATGATTGTATATCTTTAGCTTATTACATGTAGATTTTGCATTGAAGTTACAACAGTCAAAAATTAAAAACAGATTTAATGTCTATGTCTTTTCTTATTTCTTAAAAAAAAATATAATAACTTTGAAAACACAATCTTTCTCAATATGAATTAGAAATTAAATGCCTACCGGTCGAAGCTGGATCTTTAATGCTTTGCCTCGGTAGTCTAAAACTTAGGACACTCGTATGCAATACAAGAGATTCGGATTCAACTCCCGGCCGAGGTAATATTTTTCGCAATAAATTTATTTACAATTTTCCAGCACATTAACATCTTTCTAATATGATGCCTGATTGAGCATCAAATTATTAAAAATTGCTTGTCAATTTAATTTAATTTGTGATATTATTACAGTAGTTCAATTGCGCGTTTATAAGTCCGGAAAACCAATTCGGCGTGCAGTTCGAATGACTACAAATATGGTATATATGCATGTACATATATATAAAATTCACATTGAATTATTTAAACATTAAAAATCCAGCTTCGACCAGTATAGGCATTTAATTTCTAGTTCGTATTGGTTGTGTTCTCACATGTACGGTCTAAAATAAGATTCTTATTGACTTTGAAATTTAATTTCTCGTATTTAGACATCTTTTGCGCTTTAGACATCTAAAGTGAAATATTTCTGCATAAAAGCAAAACTTTTTCTTTTATACAGGGTGTTTCAAAATTCGTGCCCGCGAAGTACAAGACATGATACTTTATGCTAAAAGAAATAACTTTTTTCTTTTGCAAAATTGCATCTGACAAGTAGTTTTTGCAGGAGAGCAAGTTGAAGTTACACGAGCCAACGCAAAAATTATTTATCGAATGTAATTTTACTACAGGAAAAAGTTGTTTGTTTTAGCACAAAAAACAACTTTTTCCTTTAGCAAAATTGTGTCCGATAAGTTTTTGCAGGAGAGCAGGTTGAAATTAACAAATAAGCGCAAAAATTATTTATCGGACGCAATTTTGTTAAAGAAAAGAGTTGTTTATTTTAGCATAAAATATCATGTCTTGTACTTCGCGGACGCGAATTTTGAAACTATATTAATTCAGCCTCAATTTCGGATTTGAATAGAATCACCATTTCTTAATATTATAAATGATAATTTGCTAGATTGCCAAAATATATGATCTCCGATAAACAGCTGTTTATAATACAAACAAGAAAAAAATAATAGGCTTTATGAAGAAGAAAAGTATTGCGAAAGTTATTTTTAAAAAAGAATGTACTTAATATTTATTTATGTAAAATACATCCAATAACAATGACATCTTTTCATAACATGATAGAATAGGAATATATTTGCATGTCAATACAAAAAACCTATTTCACATCATATATATATATATATATATAGATACATATCTCATTTCAGTAAAGAATGATTTAGCTAGGATTCTTTACTTTACATCTTTCTAAAGTTCATTGTCTGTCATTTTTTCCCATATTTCATACATGTTCAATGATGTTACGTGTGTAATCGGTTATTTGCATTTTCTTGCGGTTAGAATTAGAATAGACGCATCGCATGAATGTTTCAAATGTAAAAGAAAATATTAATTTTGAATATAAATTTATTGGAATAAGTGGGCGCGATACATTCAACGACGAACGAATCATTTAATAAGACATGGAATAAGGAATACTGTGTATATTTTCGTTACAAATATTGGAAAAAATTTTCTAAATGTATTTGTTTTAAAGACAACTCAAATAATCGTTCCCGGACTTCCTCTTCGAGTGCTAACGAAGGAACAGTCATTTCTTTACAATTACTAATATATACCCCACCTTTTCTTTCAATATCTTTGCTAATTGTAGCATACGTTACTGGAATTGCTCCTTGATGAGCCGTCTGCGACAGTAAAGTAACAGTGAATTGATTGATAATAGTTTGAAGAATTTGAAAAATTTGGTATATATTGTTACCTTCCATCCAGTCATTATCCATTTGTTCCAGGCTAATATAGTCTCTTTGAATAAATCTGTTTTCACTATCCCTGGATGCACGGCATATACTAATATATTCAACGATCTGTCTTTAAAGAGTTTCTGCAATGTTATCGTAGACATTGTCTGTGCTAATTTACTTTGTCCATACAAAGTATGCCTGCAAACTATTTCCCTGTATAATAAAATAATTGTTTAAGTTCTAAGAAAATTCACACGTCATTAGTATATATTAGTATATATTAGTATAATTTACGAATAATCGTAAATTCATCATTGAAAATAAATGAAAAAAAGATAGCTTAACAATATTTTTATGATTACTTGTTGAAATTATTGATGTAGTCAAAATTTATGGTGCCGACGTCATGAGCACATGAAGTAACATTAACAATTCTACTACATTCTTCGGGACGCCCGCCGGTTTTCAATACTGGCAGAAGAAGAGATGTTAGTAAAAAATGTGATAAATAGTTTACCATCCATTGTTTTTCGTATCCGTCTTCTGTCTTTTTACGGGTAG